ACAGTAGCTAGCGAAACGAGGTTTTCAATTTAAGATTAGGAATTATATTTGCAAGAAAATTGGTTATAACATCAAAATCAGTCAAAATGGCAGTTTTTGAGATAATTGAAACTAAAAGAACTGCCTACCAACTTTTTATTAACATATTTTAGTATGGGCGGCTCTCGGCGCCAATTTTTTTTTCGTATGTTATCCGCACATTGTTTTTCTTATTACATTTGTAGGGTTTATTTTAAATATTATAATTTTTTCCATTCAGCTAGAGTAGTGCAAGCATTACCGAAACCTGAATCAGATCGTACCTTTCGTGGAGCGCAAAAGAGTGTCATTTACACCCAGCACAGCCATTTTAATTTTTTTCTACTGTCAATAATATATGAAAAATATTGGCGCCGGGGGGCACGTATAGCCGCCCATACTAAAATATGTTAATAAAAAGTTGATAGGCAGTTCTTTTAGTTTAAAGTAAAGGAATTTTTCCAATTTTTTTTATCTCAAAAACTGCGATTTTGACTGATTAAGATGTTATTACAAATTTTGTTGCAAATATTATTCCTAAACTTAAATTGAAAACCGCGTTTCGCTAGCTACTGCATTTTGGAGTTACAATTTTTTAAAAATCACAACCAAAAACTAATAGCCAGATTCTCGAGTGACACAGTATTTTTGTCCAAATTTGGTTAAAATCGGTTTAGCGGTTTTTGAGTTATCGTGTTACAGACAAATGGACAGACGGACAGACAGACAGACAGGCAGATAGACACCATGAAAATATTTTGTATTTATCAAATTTGTCAAATTACTATTACCCTTTAAACAAAGCTATTACTATTTGTCAAATACTAAACAAACTACCAAACCAAACCAAACTAATTATTATTTACCTTTATTTATGATGTTTTGGTAATAATACAGGGTGTTCCTTAATGACTATGTTGATATTTAAGGGGGTGATTCTTGGACATATTTAAAGAGAAAAGCTTCAAATAAATTATGTCCTATACATCTTAATTTTTGACATACAGGGTGGTAAAATTTTCTAAAAAAAAGTGTTTTGTTAACAACTTTGATTTTATTATAGATATCTTTATGAAACTTGATTCATGTCTTCAAAATACCTTTCATCAAAATACCTTTTTTAGTCTACAAAGAATTTTATTTATTTCAACCATTGCCGCTCATACTTGTTTTATATTGAATATTTTTGTAGAAATAAGTGGTACATCACTGACTTGTTTTAAAATAAAAATTATTTTCAAAATCTACATTTATTTCTAAACATTTTTTATCTCTTGACTTTTTTCGTCCGACTTATAATTTTTGCTTAAAAAAATTAAAGTCAGTTTACTTCAAGGCCAAATCGCTGAAAATCTGACGCGGTGACTGTTGCGTGGAAATTATTTCTGCATCGGCTGGAAGGAAATTAAAAAATAAAACATTTTTTGACGTGTATCAAAGACGTGTATCAAATATAACATCAGAGATATTTTGAAAAAAAAATAGAAAATTTTACCACCCTGTATCTGTAATAAAACTTTCTAGTTGAGTTCAACTACGGTAGCGAGCATAGTTTTACCGGTTTTTCCAACGGTTTTACACACCGGTTTAGCTAATGGGAACATAACTGGGGCTATTTCAGTTATAACAAACATTTTTAAAGGTATATAAAAAAGTATACCACTTATTGCAAATTATATTTTGTCCTCTCATAGTAAAAAAATAAATAGGTATATATTATTTAATTTTTTGATTATGTAACGCAACTCAGTTGTTTCGTCGAACTGCTGGAATTAATTTCTGCTATCGATCAAATCGGTGCGGTGTGAGAAGCTGTGAAACTATAAAATGTTGTTTCTACGTAGTTATGTAGAATTTAGTGATAGTTACAAATTTATACATATATATTTTTATTGGTGATGAGAAGATGGTTATATATATCTGTTTTCATCTCAAGAATAAGTGTGGTGAGGTATGTATAACGTAAGTCTGTGAAGTATTACTTCAAACAACAAACTCGTTGGTTATGCCACAAGAATGCCCTCTCTCTCTCTTTCTCGTGATGCCATGTCTTCCGAAATTCCCCTAAGGCCAGACTGATGTCAAGAAAAAATCGGATACAGAGCTTTAGACTAGCAGGTTTTTCTAATATAAAGCAACTTTCTTCCAAGGTAACTTATACAATAGAGTTACATGAAGAAATTTATTTTTACTGCTATGAACAATAAAACTACTTGAAAAGTATCTTATTTGCCATAAAGCATGTTTTCTGAATTATCTTCACTAGTGATTTGTTTTTGTTTTTTCCATATAAAATACTTGAAGGAAAGTTGTAAGTGCCAAATTCATTTTTTGTTATATAACCAATGTATAAAGGCGCATTCTCACGACTCGTCTACTTGGCTATTTTTATTGGCATACAGGGTCTGATTAGAGTCGTGAGAATGCACCATAGGGCGGTGTCACTGTGTGGCACCTAACGCTTTATATACAATACGCCGTAAATGTGTAGGTGGCGCCCTCTACAAGTAGGAGTCATATTGACATCAAAATTCAATTTATCATGTCAAAAAACTCCCAAATACTATATTTCATCCAAATATTGACGTTATTTCATAAATTATTTGGAAAAAATCGAAAAAAAAAATGAAACTTCTACACCCTCTGTATCTCCGAAACTAAACATTTTAGGACATACATTTACACGATTTTTTTTACTTATTTTTATCTGCAGAAAACGCAGCCGAAGTTTCCGGAATACAGTTCGGACCACCCTGTATCACAATCTTTGTTACACTAAAGTTTACAGAATATATTCTGTAAACCGTTTGTCTTAGAATATTCTTAGAGGTAGTGTATAACACATAGTAGTATGTCCCCGGATTGTCTTTACAAGAGGAAAAACTTTTTTATTATTGATATTTTGAGAAAAATGCATTTTTCATATAAATTTTTGCTTGTTTTAAAATGGTTAATCCCGTTTATACTTTTCCAAATTTCCATACCGTAGAGGAAAAAAAAACATGAAAAAATAGTTGGACTTTTCCTAAAAATCCTAAAAGTCAATACGCGTTTCTATGGTAATATAATTTTGTTTTCATTCTTTGATAGATAGTTATTGATAGAATTTTAGTTAACGTCATATTTTTTGCTGTTTTTAAACGTTAAAGAAATACAAAATAGTTATCGGAAAATGTGGTACTTTAACCGCAAAAAAGATGACGTTAATCAAAATTAATAATAACCATCTTTCAAAGAATGTAATTCTAATTATATTACCATAGAAACACCTCTTGGACTTTTAGGACTTAAAAAATTCATCTAAATTTTTATGTTTTTTTAATTTTCTCTAAAACACTTTCACAAAATTTGTTTTAAAAAGACCGTCTATTCGTCTGTCTATCTGGGAACTCCATTGGAGTTCCTCTATCCACGTGCCGTGTTTGGTTCCAATCAACTCATAATTAAGAAAAATCCTGATGATTTCGTCCATTCGAAACGTCGAAAGCGTCATTCTGTAGCCCGTCCCCAATTATGCCGAAATCGAGCCACATTTTTCTTCAATATTAGATCCTTAGTCCCACTCTGATGAAGATATAAACGAAACGTCGAATCCAACTTTGCAGGGTGGGACCGTGTACACCGTCGCTAACATAGCCTACCAATGAAATTTGGTCGCGATCGGACGACATCAACTTCTGACGTTTCTTACGTCAAAACTAACTGTCACAGTGACCCGTGTCGTACACGGTTAAGTTGGCCTTGGTCCAATCTACCGACATACCAAATTTAATTAGTAAAGAAGTTTCACTTTAAAATGTGTGGCATTTTTTTAGAATTTAATGAAATAATAATCATATGCGCTCTTAGTAATAAATTTTTGTTTTATCTATATTATTTACCTGAGGAAAATGATCAAGAACGCTCTCCAATAATATTTGCGCTAAAGTCCTTAGCTACACTGCTAACAGTAGGTATACGTAAACAAAGTTCTTAGCAAATTTATTTATATTGCACTTTACCGTTATTTCAGCAATATTACTAGGATAACAAATACGTAAAGCAAACTTATAATAACAGCCATATTACAGGGCTTTATGATCTATAACGCCCTCAAATACCTATTTTATCTCGTAAACGTTTTAAGTTCCTAGCAACATATTGACAACACAAGCAATGAAAATTTATCTCTAAGTTGGCGATGTATTAAATTCTGTTATTAATATATACAGAGTGACAATTTGAAAACGAACAGTATTTAATATCGAAGATAGTATGAAAATACTACTCTACCGATGATAGTATGAAAATTTGGCGAAATACGTCAATTTACATATCATAAGGGACAATTTTTGAGGCATTTGTTGTCGTGTTACTTTCAACCCTTTGCCCCCAGGGCACCTACCCCTAAAATTTTAAATGGCATATAATATAGCATATAGGATATAAGTTATAAAGGCAAATCAATAAAATTGCATTTATCTCAACAGGAAAATCGACAAAATATGAAGAGACAACTTTTAATCAGCATTAAACTGCTTACAGTATTTCACTAACAAGAGAAAAAAATGTCAGTGGCGTACATGCTTTTTGTAGAAAAATATTCCAGTGATAACCCATATGCACATCTCTGGTGAGTATGTCAACACTTTTTTAGCTTTAAAATATGTTGCATTTATAGTAACTTTTACCCTCAAAATTTTATTCGAAACGCTAAAAGTACTTGGAAGAAAATTATAATAAATAGAAAAAATATTAAGACTTTAACACCCTGTAGCTACGAAACAAAGCAGAATCGGACGTATGTTAATATGAAAAATAAATCTTATTTTTATATGAGAAATCTCCCCACGAGAGATGGCACATGTTTTTTGAAACACCCTGTATAAGCTCAGTAGCCCTTTACTAAATATCTTATCCAATCGACGTTCTCCGCTAGACTAAGAAGTTACCTGAACCCATACCTTGAGTTCGGCATTCATGGTCAAAAGTTAATGTTTACAACAGATCGGTGACCAAGACCATCAGCCTCACGTACCTTCTCAGCCACCATCGTGCAGCAATCGTTCAACTTAGATTTTTCGATTAACTATCGTATCTGATAATCAGCTGATTAGTCGTATCGGATTTTCGAACCGTCCAGTTTTTTTCGGTGGTACCGCGCTGATAAAAAGATGATGGAATTTCGGTACCGTTGATCACAGTGAGTGAAAAATGTGTTTAAGTCAACTTAAAAGCCTTATTGATTCACGTAAATAGACTTACAGTGAGTTTAGAGTCGAGATTGTTTAAAGTCTAAAAATGGTGCTTTTAAACAATGGACAATGTAAATATTGTCGATATCGAGGACTTTTGGAAAAAGTTTGTGTTTTTGTTAATATGCTAGTGTGAAGCTGGAAATGGCCCATTCTGATGGGCGTAATGGTCAGTCCCCGGGTAGCTGGGAAGGGTTGAGTCCCCTAAAAGCCAACGAGGAACCCACGGGAACTTTGGAGGAACAATGGACGGGAGTGGACCATTTGAGTGGGCCTCTGAATCCGCTCTGCATTACCGACGCTAATCATGAGATTTTGAGGCCAAAACCCAGAAGGTAGGAACTGTTTATATGTGTACAGTATGTCCCCGGATTGTCCTTACAAAAGGAAAAACTCTTTTATTATACTGACCTTTTGAGAAAAATGCATTCTTCATAAAAACTTTTTATAAAATGGTTAATGCCGTTATGCGGTTAAGAAAAGTATAAATTTTCTAAATTTCCATACTGTTTCAGAAAAAAATAAAAAAAAGACATGAAGATATACCGGGTGCGTCTCAAAAGTGGCTCACCCCTATAATTTTTTTATTTTTTTAGATACAAAAATGAGATTTGGTGTGTTAGTATATGATATAAATTAGGATTGATTGACGTGTTCAATTATTTTTGGTCTCTTCCTGTTTCACCTGAAATGACTACAACTTTTGATTTTTAAATGACACCCTAGGTATATTTTTACTTTATTCTATAGAGAATGACATTCTAAATAGAATGACATCATATGTCAACTTTTGAAATTTTTGTTTAATAAAAAATCGTATTTAAATTTCAACCTAGAGTGCCAACAAAGAGCCTTGAAAAAATAGATTTGATCGTCTAATATTTTTAGTGTCTTGTGTATTTTGTTGTCAAATCGTATTTTTAATCATATCTCAATTTTTTCAAATGGAACGAGGATGGCTCATTAGCATATTTGGAAAAGGCATTTTTCCCGAATAATTTGATACCACACACTTGGTATTTCAAGTCAAAAATTTTCGTTATGAACCTCAAGTTATAATTTCAAATAAATCACATGCGAAAATATCAAAAGTTGACATATGATATGTCATTCTATTCAGAGTGTTATTTTCTATCGAATAAAGTAAAAAAATACCTAGGGTGTCATTTAAAAATCAAAAGTTGTAGTCATTTCCGGTGAAACCGGAAGTGTCCGAAAACATTTGAATACGTCAATCATTCCTAATTTATGTCATATACTCACATACCAAATCTCTTTTTTTTACAAAATCTAGTAATATAGTTTGAAAAAAATGAAAATTGAATTCAAATTAATAAAAAGTTAAGCGCGACCTCTTGTTTCAAAATTAGATGATTACATTTTCGCAATTTTTACATCATTTGATGATCGGTAGCGCCTCTAGTGTTTGTTCGCACTGTTAGTCTTTTACTCCCGTTTATAGCTGTTAAAGATAAAGTTTTAAAGGGGGATGTTTTGTGATCTATAATTAGCTATCAAAGAATGAAAACCAAATTATATTAGGTTACTCGTTTGGATTTTTAGGACTTTTCATAAAAAATCCAACCATATTATTGGAAAAAAAATACATTCTCCAATTTGGAGAAGTATAAACGGAATTACCATCTCTTCAAAAAAGTCCTATGGGTATTTCACCACTTGCACCGTAAAAAAATCAACTTAGTAGTCTGTAGTAGAATGTAGAATGTTTAGGAGGGGAGCTAATCACCGGGACCTTATAGATCTATTGTGTACAGTCTTAGGGCTTTAACAAAAGCCAGTATCTGGGACGGCTCCACAGAGGTCAGCTCTCCATCCTCGACATCAGCCGTACCAAAGTACATGGCACGAATGGTCGTCGTCTCGGCGCACTCAGTGATAAGGTGTTCTGGTGTTTCCCCATTTTCCCCACAGAATCTGCATTCGCCGTTGTTTCTCAGCTTCAGCCTACTGAGGTGTTCGTTGAGGAGACAGTGTCCTGTTAGAAACCCCGTGACAATCCGAAGATTGTTTTTACTTAAATAAAGGAAAATCTTTGATTTTTCTCGGTCGTAAGTTCTGAGGAACTTTTTCGAGTGTCTTAGACCGTTGGAGGACACCCATTCCAAGTTACGGATGGAGTCTTCCAGATTCTTAAGTTCCGCTTTCAGTTGGTTCCCGTTTGGAAAACAGAACGGTTCTGGTCCAGTTAGTGGAGTGTTCGCTCCTTTCCTAGCTAGATCATTTGCTTTTTCATTGCCTTCTATCCTTTGGTGAGCAGGCACCCAGAGTAGGAGGACAACACTTACTACTTACTAGGTATTCTTTGACCAACTTCGAATTGATGGTTACTGAGTTAATCGCGTTAAGTGTTGCTTGACTATCGGATAGGATGGTCAAGTAGCACTTATCTGTAGTGATTGACTAATAAACAAATTTGTCTAACGGACAAAAAAATGCTTAACGTTTCGGGAAGTATATTTCTTCCCGTCGTCTTTTTGTAAAAAAATATTTCTGTTTCAGTGTCAAAATATTCATGATTTTTTTAAGAACATGAATTTGTTTTTTTATTAAAGGGACATAAACATATCAAATAAAAGATAATTTGATTAGGTATATGATTTTAAAGTTGAATATTTTGAATTATGACGAGATATAGACAATTAATTTATAAAACAAATCCCTTTATAATATGTACGCAATCCGTATACATATTTTAAATAAATAACATCAATTAAAATAATTGATAGAGTAGCCTATATTTGGTATTTGCATTGGACGAAATAATTTATAATAACAACCGAGAATTGTGTAAAACATTTCGATTTCTCATGTTGCGATCCGCCAATAACAAAAAGAGATTATATTTATGTTATTTAAATATTTAATCTACAATATATTTAGTAAGCTGTTATTTATTAAGATATATACAGGGTGTCCCACTTAAGATGGATACAAGCCAATATCTTGGTTGTTTGTTGAGCGATCTTTTTCATTTTTGGCAGGAGGCTGTATGGCTATAAGACGTACATTTTGCCCAGGGTAAGAAATGCGATACCTCATAGACGTACGTTTTAATGGAGTTTGATATTTTTCGAGTTAAGAGTAAACTACCCTTAGGACAGTATTTATTTCAAATCTGATAAATTATATTGAATCCTCCTTACCTAAGATACTTAAGTTCTAATTTTTATAAATATTGATACAGGGTGTGTCATTAAAATAAGACATTTTTATTTTTATTATTTTTTTTAAGTAATTACGACGCCACTGGATAAACAACAGGTTTATTATCAATAACCAATTATCAATTAATAATCGATTTAAGTTTTCAGATAGCTTCCATAATAATTAAGATATGATATAAAAAAACTAAATATTTTCAATTTATTTTGTTTACTTTAAAAAATTGTTTTTTAAGTTTGCTAATACAAATGAATAAAATGAGTTAGAAAATAATTTAAAATCCCAGTTTTCAATGGAATCTGAAATATGATTTTTATTCGTTTTATTGAGGAATATTTTAAAAAATCCAAATAGTTAGATATTTAAAACAATCACTATTAACTTTGAAAAATATGCTCTAAACAAAGATTTATAAAACTATAACGAACTAAAAGTCAACATTTTCGACCAAACCACTATAAAAAAAACGATTATTAATTGATAATTGGTTATAATTGGTTACTGATAATAAACTAGTTGTTTATCCAGTGGTGTCGTAAGTACTTAAAAAAAATAATAATAATAAAAATGTCTTATTTTAATGACACACCCTGTATAAATATTTTTCAAAACTAGAACTTAAGTATCTTAGGTAAGGAGGACTCAATATAATTTATCAGATTTGAAATAAATACTGTCCTAAGGGTAGTTTACTCTTGACTCGAAAAATATCAAACCTCATTAAAACGTCCGTCTATGAGGTATCGCATTTCTTACCATGGGCAAAATGTACGTCTTATAGCCATACAACCTCCTGCCAAAAATGAAAAAGATCGCTCAACAAACAATCAAGATATTGGGTTGTATCCATCTTAAGTGGGACACCCTGTATATATCTTTAGCGGTGCTATGAATGTGAATTTATATTTTTACTTAGGCGCGCGCGTAATTTGTAGACATACTTTATTTAGACAGATAGGTATATTTTAATTAAAAATATGTATAATAAATAACATCGAAATATTATTTACTTAAGGAAATGTAAATTTTGATTTGTTGCAAATTAATTGGTGTATTTTATTTTTATTTATTTGTAAATTTTTAGATGTACAGAAAATTTGTTGGATATTTCAAGTTATCACTCATAATGAGGAAAATGCACGTTTTTAAAAATAATGGTTTTAATAAATAATTCATATAATTAAAAATTGAATAAAAGAAAAATCGTTGATATCGGTTAAGAAATGCCTCTAATATAAAATAATTAAATATTGTTAATTGTTTTGGCCGGGCAAACGCTCTCTACCGCGTCTTGCCGCTGTGACGTCACCCGCCGTTCTTCTGGTTGAGTGGAGCCGGACGCGTGTTTATTTTACACAGTTTGCTTTTATACGCTGTTGAATCTGAGTCAAAATTTTAGTTATTTGTGTTAATTAATACATAATTAGTAATTAGTGATATTTATAAACAGTAATGGATGAGCGAAAACAGAAAAAAATGGTCCAAGGCCATTAGAAGAGATGAGAAGAAAAACGTTAAATTATCCTCTTTTTTACGATTTGTTGATGTGAAGATCATTTTGATGTAAGTTCATATATTTATGTATATTGTCTTACATAGGTATATGAAATTTGAATGTACAGGGTTATTCATTATATTTTGACACCCACATACAGCCTTAACTGCAAGTTTTAGAAGAAAACATTAAATAAAAAAGTTGCATGGTTTTTCATATTCTCTCTTTTAAAATTAATTCTAGTTATACAGAGTGTCTCAAAAAAGGTGGTCCAGAAAATTGTAGGTATTTTTCGCTTTTCAACTGTCAATATTTCGTAAACATTTGAAGATAGGTATAGGATATTATACATGAAATATATCTAGAATATCTAGAAATTTCCGAAGAATCCAAAAATATATAGGGTGTTTCACTTAAAAAAGTAACTTAATTTTGGCGTTTGCTTATGGGACACCTTGTATAATATTTTCATTACTGATAAACAATTAATTTCCTATAATTTCGTAAAAAAAACAATCTTTAAAAATAACAAGGGCAAGGGAGTATCAATATATAAAAAAAACTTTCTTTTTCACGCTATGCTCTGGAGTTATTTTTCCACGTACTAAACAAATATTTTTGTCTCTTTTCACTTCTACATAACCTACAGCATTATCT